AACATATTTAAATGTATTTCGAATGCGTGCATATATTTGTTTACTTGTATTTGATATATATATTATGTTAAGAACTTAACTTTTTCGAAAAAAAAGTAAAAAAAAATTAAATGCTGTCCAAGCTAAGCTATGCAAAAAAAAAATAAAATAAAATAAAAAATAAAAAAACAAAATAGGGAAAAAACAAAACGAAAAAAGCAAACGCATAATAAAATGAAAAGTTAAAAAAAAAAAATAAATAAAAACAAGAACAAAACTCAATGACACTCAAGCAATTTTCATTGTTATGTTTCCAAAGTAAACAAAAAAGAAATAAGAAATTGTAAAAAAAAAACCTAGAAGACTGTTTCTTGAAAACATATTAAGGATTCTTTGAATAAGCTGTTACCAAAAACATTTTATTTTTTTTGCTCTTTGTTTAGCACTGAATTCCTTCCATTGTGAGCATAATTTCTTCGGTGTTCGTGGGTGTGCGTATGTGTGTGTGTATGTGTAGCCACCTGCATCACACACCCACAAACTTATACAAGATTTACGTATATGAATATACATAAGATAAGCATGTATGTGTGTATGATTTTTAGCACAAATATTAAGCTTAAACTGCATTTAACTGGATCGGAACACTTGGAGCATCCTTGACGATGGGCGATATTATGCAACGCACCCTTAACGCACTAATACTTATGTATGTATATGCAATCATTTAAGTCCAGTCCAGTCTAGAGAAACTCCAGTCTCTTGAGCACAAATTGAAAATGCAGCCAGAATATGAATCAAGTATTAAGTTTCTTCTCGGATCGGAGCGGAAATCGCATAGAGTTAGATATTGAAGAGCTCATATATACATATATACATATGCATATATATATATGTATATATATAGATCATAGTTCGATTGATAGGAATAGGAATGAAATGAAAAGTAATACTATGTACACTGTATACACTATATATGTTTATGAATATGATGTAACTGTATGTAACATGTATGTATGTATGTCGATCTATATAACTGTGTAAACCATTGAGAGTTGTAATTGTAATTTGAGATGATCTGTATTTTTGTAAGCATAATATATACATATATACATATATATATATTTAACAAAAACTGCGAGCTGGGCGTGGCAGGGCGCACTTACAATTGATTTGCTCATTATATTATATACTATATAGTATATGCTATAATATAAGCAAATTTCGAACACAATGGCTTGCATTTACATATACACCAGCACGCATATATATACATGTATATGCATTATTGAATAAATCAAATCAAAGATTCCAAGCATGGATAGAATATATATACTACATATATATATATATATGGATATCCAACATATATCACTGTAATTGTTATAAATTATTTGCAAATGCTAAACAGTTAAGTCCATATATACCACAGAACAATGCGAACACATAGACACATAAACTCACATACACACACACATATATATATATATATATGTATTTCATACATAAATATATACAAAAACAAAATTGAAAATGAAACACAAACACTATATTGAATGTTTTTGCTTGTTAAAGTGAATAATAATAAAGAGCAAACTAACTGCATATAATACATACATCAAACATTTCATTACAATATAATGTACATTTATTTATACAGTTATGCACCTGCGATGCTATCTCTCAGCTTAAATCTATTTGTTAATAACGTATATAGTTTATCACTTTCAAGGATTCTGCGCCTGTTGATCGCGCTGCTGTTTGTCCCGTTTATTTTGCTGCGCCGTCAAATGACTCTGAACGAAACTTTGAAAGTTTTGTTCTTCTGCTTTGCTCTTGGCATCGGTTTCCAGCTCCTCATCGGCATCCATTTGCACCGGCACTAGGCTCGGTGCCATAAGATATACACTGTTCTCCGAGTTGGTCTTTGGATCCTGCAAGTATAGAGAAATTGCAATTAGCTACTGTTCCACATAATCCATTCAAGGGCAACTGACACTTATATCGAGTCCCATGGGCACAGCTGTGCCGGCCTCATCAACGCTGTCGACTGGCTGCGGATTCGTCTCCTGCTCGGCAATGCGCTGTAGGCGCATCTTCTCATACACCGGCTTGTAGTCGCGATTGTATTCGGTCACACAGTCAAGTATGTGCGTCATGAGGGTTGCAAAGCCGATGCCCGTCTTGGCCGAGACACCGCATGTGATCAGATTCTCGTAAAATGTGTCGAGCGTAAGCGACATGGTGCGTGTCAGATTGTTGACATAGCTGTGCTCCTCCTCCAATGCATCCTGGAACACCTCAAAGTCGGTCATCCACTCCTGCACAAAGCTACAATCCTTCAGGTCAATCTGTTCAATTAGAATATGAAGATTTTATAGCATCTCTTTTATCAGTGTGTTCACCTTATTGAGCGCAATCAGAAAGGGCAGTCGCGTCTTGTAGAGTATGGAGCACGCATACAACATGTTGGACATGAATGTGGTAGGGCAACTGGAACGCACAACATCCATGACATAGACAACGATCGTGGGAAACATGGTAGCTAGGCCTTCAGTGATGATGCTTCCAGATGCCGACCAGGTGAATACCTCAATTTGGCCAGGCGTGTCGATGATGCACCATTTGTGGCCACGCTCGCCGGCGCGTCGCACCAGCTCCGCGAACTTGGGCATCTTGGTGGTGAACATGTTGAGCGCAGTGACAATTCCGCCGTTGGGGCCCAGCTGATACTGTTTCATTACCTCTCTGTAGTTGACCGTGTCACGTATGTCGATATGCGCCGCATAGGGAACCTCACGACAGGCGGGATCTAAGTTTACTACATACGGATTAAACTGTGCCTGAGCGTGCTCGATGAGGCTCCGCGTGAAAGTCGTTTTGCCTGAGCCGGCCATGCCAAGCACGATGATGCAGACAGGCGAATCCCGAATGCCTTCGCTGATGCTCAGCCCCGCTAGGTTGATATCATTGATGTCGACGTTAGCATTGCTGCTGGTGCTTGAAGGTTTGGTGGTCATCCTTAATACAAATTGCCGCAAAACAAAGTTGCACGCTTCAGAACTTGACAATCACAGTACAACGCATTCATACAAACAGTGAGTGGCAGTGTTAGTCCAAACTATTTTTAACGGTCTGGTAGCTTTGCTTTCGAGATTCGCAACAGGTGGCGGTACGGTGCCTGCTCATGCACATGCGCACAATATTCAGCGAACATTTTTCACATGGTATGGTATATAAAATTTTAGTATCTACAATAGATGGCGGTACCCAAAATTATTTTGTTTATTAAAAGAAAGCCTTATTTGAAGGTAGACAATTGTAAACCAAATTAAAATATTTTATTATTGTTTCAGCAAGTTTACTTAAGGGATTCCCTTTTGCTATCCACATTCGCACAATAGCGCATATATATAGTTCAACTAGGTGGCATCCACAGTTTGTAGTTTGGCGCGGCGATGGAAGCACGTCTGGAAATTAAGTTGCAGCAGCCGAATCCCCTTTTCACGCGATGGCTGGAGCGTTGGCTACACGAAGCGGAGCAACGCAACCGCAAATCGCAGCACAAGTTGCGACAGGCACTGCAAGCCCTGCGCAACTACCCGCTGCCATTGTATAGTGGCCGCGAATGCGCCGTGCTGCGCGGCTTCGGCACAACGCTATGTCAGCTGATCGATGAAGAACTGCGTCAGCATAGGCTGCTGGCCAGCCAAGCCAAACTGAATATGAGCGCCACTGCGGCGTCCAGCAGCGCAGAGTATCAGGAGCAGGTGCAACAGGTGGTCAAAGTGGTGCAGAGGAAACAAAAGCAACAGCAGCTGCAGAAGCCCAAAAAGTTGACCAAGAAAGCACAACAGGAGCTGGCAGCAGCCGAGGAACGGGAACGTGTCGTGCACATGCCTGCGGGCAGCTATCGTATTGTGCTGCTAGTGGACACGCAGGAGACGAGCGGCAAGAATAAGCGCATCCTGGATCAGACGCGCAGCTATCTGCAAACGCTGAACGTGGAGCACGAGGTGCGGCGCCTAACTGTCGGTGACTTTCTGTGGATAGCACGCGATGCCGCCGGCAACGAGCTTGTGCTGCCCTACATAGTGGAGCGCAAGCGCATGGACGATTTGGCGAGCAGCATACGCGACGGTCGGTTCCACGAGCAGAAGCATCGCCTGCACCAGTGCGGACTGCCGCACATCATCTATCTGATCGAGGACTACGGCGACAATGAGCAGCTCGGCCTGCCCCTAGAGTCCTTGTTGCAGGCACTTGTCAACTCTCGCGTCCAATCCGCTGACATCCAGGTGGTGCGCTGCGACAATCACTATCGCTCCATGTGCTATCTGAGCGGCGTTGGCGCCGCCTTGCAGCAGCTCTATGTGGACGCGGCCAAGACGCTGTACAGCGTGGACAAGCCGCAGCTGGCCAGAGCACAGGCCGACAGTTGTCGTGGCCAGGAGGGTCTGCTCAAGTTCCGTTCCCTCTACGAGGACTCGGCGCGCAATGCCCAGCTGACGGTGCGCGAGGTATTCGTCCAGCAGCTGCTGCAGCTGCACTCCCTCTCACTGGACCGTGCCCTGGCCATTGTGGAGCGATATGCGACGCCGCGCCTGCTGCTGGATGCATATGCGGCGTGCCAGAGCGAGACAGAAGCACGTCAACTGCTGGCGGGACTCTGCTGCGGTCCGCTGCAGCGGCCACTGGGCGAGAAGCTGAGCCAGTGCATCCATCAGTTCTACACAAACGAATTCAAGGCCAGTTAGGTTTAGTAATTGTATTTAGTAGGTATTTAGTTAATTGGACATATCTAAAGTTATATACACATATTTATACATTTAGAATTATGACTTGGACTAGTTATAAGGGGAGAACAAAAAGTGGATGCCAATCGATCGAACGATTTCATTTATATATTGCGAAAATGCCGTATGGCCAGATCCACGGGCAAATCGAAGTCAAACTTGGACAGTGCATCAATTGAGCGCAACGAGTCGCGGAAGCCCGTGCATGCCACATAGCTGTTGGACGTGTAGTATGTATCGATTAGCTCGTTGCAGCTGAGTATCAGATTGAGCCACTCCACCAAGAGATGTGCGCTGAGGGGCGAAAGGGAAATGACAATTCAAGTGAATGGGATATCGAATGAAGCACTCACTTGAGTCCGGCACAGATGAGAGCCTTGAAGTGGGCATTGTAGCTGCGCTTGTAGGGCCGATGCATGGCCAGGATCATGCCGATGGCGCTCAGCAGACTCTGCTTGGCTGTCACCGCCTGCGCGTCCACAATGTCCAGTTGGAAGCTCTGCGATAGCTTCCTGGCCGGCGTATTGTTGTACTCCTCGCCATGCTTCAGATTGTAGTACTCCAGTATCAGCTCCCAGGCGTGCATGCTACGACCAATGCCAAGGAACTGCATCTCTGCTGCCGCACCCGCCGCCACACGCTGTGCGCCCGGCTGCAGGCAACGCATGAATGGCACCATCAGACTGGACGCCGCCGATTCGGCTGGTAGGCGCAGCCCGTGCTGGATGAGCTGCTGCAATGTGCGCGCAAAGTTTTTGCGCACCACATTGGTCAACTCGCGGCCAATGGTGGCTATGGAGTCGCCACGCATATGCACAATGCGCCGTCCCAGAGACTTGTCCGTGTCCCAATCGTAGCGCTCGTACATATCCTCATCCGAATCCGATGAGGCTGTGGCTGCGCTTGCGGCATAGGGCGTCAGCTCGTGGCCGGCGCTGTTGACAGCCGCACGCCTGCATCGTGGCGGCAAAGTGATTAATGCTCCATTCTGCGCATCAACCGAGACGCTTGGCTTATTGGCATTGGTCGCCTGCTGTTCCCGTTGCTGGCGTAGAGCTCGCTTGATGTTGGCCAACTTTTCTCGATCGCAGCTTAATGTGGCTGCCAATGCGGCCACCTCCTGGATATCCACCTCCAGCTGCGCGCGCAGATCCCTTTAGAAATGAATGTTTATTTATAATTGATATCATTGAGAAATTGTAATTTAATACAAATATTTTCATATATGTAGCTAATAATATTGCCACTCTTTCAAAAATATGCCCAAGTCTAACGGATAATTACTCAAAATGGAAACATGAATCGATTTCGCATTGGCGTTGCCACCGTGGCACGAAAATTTAACGGATATTACAATTCCCACGATGACAATTAAGTTAATTAAATTTTTAATGCTTTTCACTCACCCCCAATGGTTGCCCTTGTGCGTCTTCTTTAGAGAGTTCTGCTGAAAGTCCGCTTGGCGCTTGGCAAAGTGCGTGGTCGCAAACATCTGCATCAGTAGCGATGCCTTGTCGAGCAATCCATGCGCCTTGCTGTGCAGGCTTTCCCGTTGTGGTCCATGCTCCGCATTGGAGTTGGATGATGATGATGACGATGCTCCTGTCGCTCTCATATTGCTGCTGCTGCTATTGGTTGTTGTTGTTGTCGATGTGGTTGCCACCACGGGCAGCTGACCAGGCGCCTGCCTAGCCGTCTGCTTCGCAGCATAGCTGTTGTAGGCGCCGCTAAGCAGCTTCAACTTTTCGCTGGCGCTGGTGGTGCCGCCCGTGCCACCAGCGGTGTCGCACTGCAGAAAGGCTATAAAACGCTCCAGATCGGTAATTTGGGTTTTAAGCTGTGCCACCAGCTGTTCCTTCATTTTGAGCGGACCCACAAACTCGCCGATCGCATTGTCCACCTGATGGCGCAGCTCCTCGGTGCTGAGAGCGGGCAGCTGATGTTGCTCCACTTGCAGATTGAGCTTCGTGCGCAGCTCGTCCAGTATGAACTTTTGCTTCTCGAGCAGCACATGCTGCGGCAGCACTCCGGGTGCACCCGAATCATAGGCGAACTGCTCCAGCTCCGTTAACTGCGACTTCAGCTTCTCGATCAGCTGGCCATTTGGCGGAGCCGCCTGCTGCGTTTCATCATTGTCGTTGTCAGTTTTGGTAGCTGGTAGTGGCACCTCCGGTATGCCCTGAAAGGCAAAATCCTCCAGATCACGCAGCAGCTGATCCCGCTCATCAGTGGGCGCCTCCACAATCTGTCGCACGCGCAGCTGGACGTGCGCAAACTGCGATGTCAATGCCAACAGTGAGCTGGTCAACATTTCCTGCTCCTCCTCAATGCTGCGCAAACGTGCCAATTCGCTGGCGCTCTCCTCGTTCGCTGCCACCGCTGCTGGTGGCTGCTTCTCCAGCTCCTGATTGAGCATCGTTGGCTTCAGTTCACAGTCGCCGCTCGTTATCAGCTCGGAGCTGGCGCTGTTGGCATCATCATAATTTGCGCCCAACGGCGACCAGCGTTCGCTCAACGGTTGCGCCTCGTCCTCGGCAAATGCGTCTGCGTCCTGATCAGCCTCTGGATATGCTGGACTCTCAGCGCATTCCACGTCCTCATTGACTGTTGCTGTTCCAGTTGCACTTGCCACCTTTGCTGCCAACTGCTGTAGATTGTCACAGCTGGCAGTGCTGCTGTTGCTGCTGTTGCTGCTGGCTGGCTGCTGACCTTCGGCCAGCGTGGCACTCATGTCCATATGTGTGGCTGGGGCCAGTTGGGCGCAGTTGCCACTTTCACCTATGCCACACTTTCCACTGTGCTCGAGTTGCTGATGCGAAAAATCAATCACTCGCTTGCTCGACTAACAGCTGGCCAATCCGCTGGCATTTGTGTCTACGTGTGTGCGGGTGGTTGAGCCTCGACAGTTGGCAGAGCCACAAGGCAAGTAGACTCGAGTCGACTCTCTCGATGCTCTATTTCCCGTGGCAGTCACGAAGTGAACGCTGCGACTGCTTTTCACGCACTGACAGTCGAGTCCATTTTCATTTTCCATCCAGAGCTTTTATCAATGGGGTTGCCCTGAGCTTTAAGCTTGCCGCATTTTAGGGGTTGCAATCGTATCGAAAGCCAATTCAAGCAGCCTAAAATGCTTTAAGCTTTGGCACATGTGTTTTTGTTGCTCGAAGGCTTTCTGGCTGGATATTTACTACGACGGCAAACTTGCTGAGCTTAAAGAAAGCTTTGAGCCGTAAGCTCAATTTGGGTGGGCTTCTAGTTTACATGTACGTAAACACAACTTGCAAATTTGCCTGAACTATGGTAAAGCTGCTATGTATGTTGTTGTCAAGATATTGCCCTATTTTGTATGAGGCTCAGAGTGGAAGATTTTTAGCCGTTTAAAAAAAGTTGGGAAAGCCAAATAAAAATGCAGGGAAAATCAAGGAACATATAAATTAAGAGTAGGAAAGTTATGTGACTAGGGATTTATTATACCCTGAACCCATTGAAAATGGGAAATCAGGGTATAATGGTTTTGTTGAAATGTATGTAACAGGCAGAAGGAGGCGTGGCAGACCCCACAAAGTATATATATTCTTGATCAGGGCGACGAGCTGAGTCGATTTGGCCCTGTCCGTCTGTCTGTCTGTCCGTCTGTCCGTCTGTCCGTCTGTCCGTCTGTCCGTCCGTCCGTCTGTCCGTCTGTCCGTCTGTCCGTCNTAAAAATAAAAAATTAAAAAAATGTAAAGTTGTTGGGAAAAAAGTAAAAATGGAAAAATTACTTTTCTTTCTATATAAGCTAAAGTAACTTCCTATACAAAAGAAAACACTGTTATACTCTGTTACCATACTCTGTTATTAATTTAATTCATATTTAAATTTAATCAATTTGATTCAACTCTTTGTTTTGCTCATCTTAGCTTTAGAAAGTTTCCATTAGTAGCGTCAATCTGGCCCTAGTTAATTTTAAGACCAAAGCTTTGCAACAGCTTATAAAAATGGTTTCACCTAACCGTAGCTTTTCCCGTTGAAATTTCCCAAAGTTGTCCCAAAGTCAAATTACCCCAAGCTTGTTCACCTATTTCGTAAGGGGAGCACTGACCGACTTGACCCCTTTTTCCCCTTCAGCAGGAAAAAACCCAATATATCTGTGTGTCCGATAAGGCTTACTTCAGATTGAGAGAAAAACATTCCAGATAAGAATTGAATAGAATTTCTTCTACATTGATATACCTAATGTGTCTGGGACTATTACATATCAGAGTAGTTGCTCTGGTATCACAAATGTTTTGCCGCTGCTCGCGATAAGCTAATCAGCGCGTTGAGTGCGGCTGACAACCTGATTGGCGGTCATTTTGGGGTCGTTGGGGCTGGGGCCACGCATTCAGCTCGAGCATTGAGTGAAACCAAATTCATGTTGCATGTATTTCACTTAATAAGCACAAAAGAATGAATAAAAAAAAAAAAAAAAGTAAAAATAGAAAAAAAAAAGAGAAACATTTACACATATGAATAGCTGGGAATACTTTGTGTCATTTAGCGTGGCGTAAAATTATTTTTGCCCCCATCGACGGGCAGCAGGGCGCCAGTGGTGAAGCTGGCCTTGGAGCTGGCCAGGAATGCGGCGGCCTCGGCCACCTCAAACACATCGCCGACACGGCCCATGGGATGGGAGTTGATGGCGCGTTCGTGCAGCGCATTGTATGCCTCGTCCACAATGCCAATGCGACTGTGTATGTTGGTCACCACAAAGCCCGGATTCACCGAGTTCACACGGACGCCCTGCGGCGCCAGCTCCAGCGCGACAATTTTCGTGAATTGATCCAGTGCCGCCTTCGAAATGCCGTAGGAGAGGGCGCCGGGAAAGTGACGGATGCCGGCGCAGCTGCTAATGTTGACCACAGCGCCTTTCGTCTTTATCAGATGCGGCACAGCTGCCTTGGTGAGGACCACAACGGCGCGCAGATTGGTATTGAGCACCGCATCGAATTCGTCCATGTCCAGATCGATGAGCGGGCCGTTACCCAAAATGCCGGCATTATTCACCAGCACATCGATGCGTCCGTATTTGTCCAGCGTCTGTTGTATTATTGCATTCGCATCCTTGGTCACATCGGCCTCCACAGTGAGTGTCTGGACGCCTTTATATAGCTGCTGGACTTTCGCTTGCGTCGCCTCCAAATTGTTAACGTTGCGTCCGACCAGCGACAAATGTGCTCCCTCACGGGCCATTACCTGGGCGATGGCAGCACCAATGCCGCTGCTTGCCCCCGTCACAATCACCACCTTGTCGCTGAGGCTCATCTTGTTCGACTGTGTACGCCGTGGCCTGTGCGGCATGCATTTATGCTGCCGCTCCCGTTTCCATTCCCATTCCCATTCCATTCCCGCCTGTCTTGCCGGCTGATAAGATTAAGCGGACGGGCGAACGTGACGTAAATTGCGCTCGTGTGTAACCTGTTGAGGTGCTGCATTCCCATTGCCATTCACTCACAGATTCTATTGCAGCTACAGCTAGAGAATGAGAGAGTGACAGAGAGAGGTAGAGGATTTTGAGGGGCTAGGGAATAGGGATAGGGGTACTAAGACCCTTCTGACCATGGCCCCATTTAGCAAGTCAAGCGACAAGTTTTTTAATTAAAACTTTTTGCGGCTTCTCCGATTTCAAAGATTTGTGAAATCATGTTCCCAGCTGTCGCCACTGCCGTCCCCCACACCCCCCCCCGTTCAACCCGTTCCCGTTCCCCATTCAGTCTAAGCTGCACCCTAGCACCTAGACATGAGATAGATAGAGAGAGAGAGAGAGTGAGTGAGAGAGACAGAGAGAGGGAGGCCGGCCTCCTAAATGCCTGCTGTTTGCCGTCTATGTCTGTCTGCTGCCGGCTCACATTAACTTTAAGCGTTTCCGTTGTCAGATAATTAACATTTCCATTTAGCTAGCGCTGGTGGCTGCCTCGAATCGGCTCATATATCACCCGGAGCCGCCAAGAGCGCGCTCAAGTTGTATGCGCTAACGAAAGAAAAATATATGTATCTAGAGACAGCGAGAGCCCGAGAGTGGCAGAGAGAGCGAAAGAGAGCGAGAGAGAACTGATTGCGATAAGAACTGTTACAAATTATCACAGCACTTCTTATGATAGTTGCTGCACGGGAGAGGGGGAGGGGGAGGAGGTAGGAGAGTGACGCTTCTGTTGGTCCTACTCAAAATATTCCATTCGTTAACTACTCAAACTACCTGGCCAAACCAAGGCAAATGGCAACTGTTTTTACACTCGTCTCTTTTGGAGCATTTCATAAATTTTAATGAAGTCGCGCGGCTGCCGGCATCTGAGCTGCCTAAGTGACCCAGACACCTGCCGAGCTATGCTCTTCGTTTGCTTACACTTGGCGCATAGATATCCAATAAGAAAACAACAAATTTGTCACACTTGCAAGGATTCATTCCTTTAGTCTATTATAGTGCAGAGCCTATTATATGGTGCATGTTTGATTGTTGAGTAAAAATCTCCAATTTGACAATTAATGCTGTTACAGTCATTAGGCAGGAATTGTTCAGGTGATGCTTCAGTCATTTCTTGAAATTGCAAGTGGGACTGCGTTAGCTGGGAGTGCCCGACTGGGGGATACCTAAGGCTCAATCTAATAACTAAATTGTAATTTTACAGAAATGGGAAAATTTGTATATGGTATTAATTGACCTGATGTATACGAGTTGGATGAAGCTATAACAAGTCTCCAGCTGTGATAGACAAGCGGATAGACAAACGAATAGACGGATGGATGAACAGACGGATAGACGGACGGATACACGAACGGATAGACGGATCTATAACAGGCATATGGACGGGCGGATAGTCGGACGGATAGACGAACATATAGACGAACGGATAGACAGGCAGATAGATGAACGGATAGACAGGCGGATAGACAGGCGGGTAGACGGACGGATGGACGAACGGATAGACGCATTAATTGGTGGACGGATGGATAGATTGAGCGAGGTCAAGGCAGCCGTTGTTTCCTATCACGTATATCTCCTTTTAACTTTACAGTCAGATGTCGATCACGTCTCTGCCTGCTGCCTGTTACAGACCTTTTAACATAATCAGCTTTCCATGTGAAAGCTCCTTTCCCCCCAATGGGTTCGGGCTGCAAACACACGCATCACATAATAGCAAAACATTTCTACTTTATCAAAATATATTTTCCTTCAAATTTCAAATCTTCTTAATTATATATTCTGCTGTAATTCCCATTGTATAAATAGCAAAACATTTCTTCATTATCAAGCCAACAGAAGCGTATTCCCACTCACTCGAAATATGTTTTCCTTCAGCATTCAAATCGTCTTAATTATAAAATTTGTTATAGGTCTCATTGTAGAAGCCGTTAGCACCAACACGGTATTGCCTTCTCATCCATCATCCATCATTCATCATCCCTCATCCATCGGGGCACTCGAGTTGCATCAGTGTCTAACCGAGAGACAGGCGAACCGAAAGCAAACCAAAATCGTAAATTGAATTCATGAACTTGACGGTTTTGCTTTGTTCTTGCTTTATTATAATTCTTGTTGTTTTTGCATTTTCTTGGCTTGCTTCCAGGGAGGACTAATGTATGCGTAGCAGAACCGGAATTAATAAGTGAGTGCAATTAAGGAGTGTCAAGAACAAAGTTTCTAGATGCCGTTGCAGCACTCATTTTGTAATAAATTAAATTTTAATAACAGCCGAACAAACAAACGAAACACAAAAAAAAAGAAAAAATAATAAAATATATATATACATAAAAAAAAAAAAAAAAAAAAAAAAAAACACACACACAGAACTTAAGTCTAACTAGAGCTAGCGGCTATATTGTAAAAAGCAATCTGTGAAAAGTTGATTGGGGGTAAATGGATTCATGAATATGGAAATTGAGCTACTTCAGTACGGCTTTGTTTTTCACGGGCAGAAATGAGGCCAGCAGGCAGCCAGCTGAAAGGTGAAAAGAAGGTGGAGAGATATAAAAATAAAG